CCCCGGCCGGCCGGCCGGCGGTTGGCTGAAACTCACGAGAGACAAGGGTCCACGTCACCGATGGAATCGAAAGGGCCTGTTGACGCATTCCGTTGCGGGTCTCTCGGGTCTCTCGGGGGTCTCTGGTACTTTACAATCTGTTGGCCCGATAAGGGTGGTTGTCGTTGCGCGACCATAAAAGTCCCAAGACCCCATTTCATCGTGATTCGTCATCGAGTCTTGAAAATAAATTAATGCGAAGCATTTCTTGGCTTTTTGTCCCTATCAATATGAATTTCTTTTTGCAAACGTTTCTCCCTTCATTCCCAATCTGTTCATCGTGCTGAATTTCGTTCCTTATAGGAAGGACTCCTCCTCGCGTACATTTTTCTTGCTGCCTGAGCGTCTCTCAAGGATAATCCGATAACCTCCCAGAATTTCCTTCCGAATGACGAGTGGCAACCACCCCCGTCACGACGTTATACATTATCACGACCGTCCGCGCTGGCGAATTGTGTGTTAAAGTTTTTGCGCACCCTTAGCGAATGTGCCTTCGGGTCAATGGGCTGGATCGTTCCGCCATATAGCCGCGAACAACCCCCTAGCCGAAGATTAATGCTCTTTGGGCTTTTTTAGAGGTAGAAAAGTATATATAATTTCCTATCCCAAGTACATAAGTGTACATTGCATCCGTTCGGCATTACCTGCGTCGCGTCCTTGTATATCGAAATCCTGCACGTGGCTATTCTATCCTTTCGTTATTCACTTTTGTCTCTGTCGTCTCTCAAGATTCTTTATCGATTGATTGCAATGTGCCTTGGCGATGAAAAAGGATAGTCGAAGAGGAGGATGGCTGCCAGGGAAGCCGGCTCGGCCTACTCGTGCGCGACCGAAAGTGTGTGGCCTCCGTACCTGACTGCGCGCGTGGACTCGTTATAGCGGTGTGTCTCTTAGTGCTTGTATGTACCCCGCAGGTACGATACGCTACATAAAGGCGGCCGTTTCTGCATCCAACCGTGGCTGAGCTCCGAGCACGTGTACATACCTCCTCGGTACATGATAACGTAGGGAACGTGAGTCGGAAGGGTGGGTTTCGAGCGTATAAGGGTTGCCAAAGCCAAAGCCAAAGCCAAAGCCAGAGCCCAAGACCTCAGCCTTTCCAGAACAAATCGATAGCACCACCAGCACCACCAGCACCACCAGTATTGCAGCGTAGACCTACCGACATGAACCACCCTCTCTACCACCCCTCTTCCCTCGGCCCTGAACCCGCGACCCTCCATCCTCTCCGAGGAAGATCCCCTGACCGCGGAGGAACTATTTGAAGCGATCTGTACAACAGGGGGTTCGGGGTTCGGCACTACGGAAATCGATTCGGATTAACTCGATGCTCGGCCAGGGCCAACCTCAAGTGGATGCTGCTTCTTGAGTGAAATTTGCCCAAGGTTTTTAAGTCGGTCGAGTCTTCCTTGGCTAAGACTTCTTTCCCATTTAGAAGGACCCAGCCCCTACTTGGAAGTCTCCGCATAAAAAGGGGTTCCGCCTAGTCCCGAGGGAGACTAGTCCCAGGTACGTTGCATTCCTTTGAATATCCTTCTCAGGCTCGATATTACTTTAATCCCTCGTATATGGAGGAGGGTGTTTTGTAATTTTATGAAATATTATATTTGCCAGTGGTTCTATTCAGTTGGGGGTTGAAAGTTTCCTCAAGGAGATCCGAGACCTCCTCCACTGCCCTCTTCTCTTTTTTCCCTTGATGGAAAATCATAGGTTCTCCACCCTTTCGCTTCCCTCAGGATTTCTCGTGCTTTTACAGAATCCTGCGCTTGTTCGTTCTACAACCCCTTTGTCTTGGCTCTTTTCAACTATCTTACGTTGCTCCAGTCGAGAAACAACCACGTCTACCAACTTCACCATTTCTAACTTAAGAACAGGGGTTTGATTAACGATTGGGGGATGAAAAAAATAACGTGGTTAACAGGACCAACAAGGGCTCTGTGGTTCATCGGGGTTAATTGGCTGTTGTTATATATATATCAAGAAAGTTCACCATATAAACAGCATAGACGAGAGCATTCTCCCTGCTTCCATAACTGCAGTCAAAATCTTTCTTTTGGCATGGTCAACTGCGCCGGTTTGCGCCAAATCACATCTTTGGGAGGCTGCATCTCGGAAACGGATGAGAACCCAGGTTCTTCCTTAAAAATTTCAATGATCTCTTAACGCAAATACATAGTGTGGTCCATAGAAGATATTCAAATTTGAAGGCCACCTTGATCAACACTGGAACTTCATGAAATGTCGATTAGACCTTGACCTACTTTTAAATTTCAAATTTGAAAAGTAATTCCGAAGGCAGATGAAAGTTATAATAGAATTTTCGGAATAGGTCAAAGTTTTCATTCACGTTTGAAAAAGTGACACATTCTTTTCGAAACTAGCACTATCGCAATTAAAATTGTACCAGCCTCCTCTATGGACCATACCATGCTTCTGCCTTAAGAAATCTTATAATTAGAAAATTTCAAGGAAAAAGTTGAATTCCCAGCTGTTTCCGAGACGCAGCTGTCCAAAGGTCCAATTTAATTAACTTTTCAAAACCAATAGAATCGCCCAATCTTCCAGGGATGCGCAGGAGTCAGAGAATTAGTGAGACGCCACATTCATTTTTTTTTTTTTTTTCATAATTCTTGACGTGTGCCGTTTATAAAGGGAAGGGAATAGCATCATTCCTGAAAATATCTATTCGAGTATCGATTTTGCAATCAGCACAGGTCGTCGTTTCTCATATTTTGTCGCAAGTTCTAAGTCGATCTTAACCTAGCCTAAGATGCTTTTAGCGCGTTTGATGGAGTCCGTTAAAAAGGTAAAAATTGGATGAAATCAATGAGGGTGAAAAAAAACGGAAGGGCGATAAGTCCCTTTCCAGCATCCCTCATACCTTCCCATCACTTATGCTAGAAAAGAATACTTCTCTAAAGAAGATCAAAGAGAAAGAGAAGAAGCAGGAGCCGGGACCGTCCAAAAGGAGGCTTTTCTTAATACGCTTCGGAAATATTTTCAAGGAGTTTTGCCCGTAGAGAGCGAGAGTGAGAGATAGCAAGAGAACGGGATACAGGTATAAGAAATTCTAAGGGAAAATGTCCTTCCTCCTTTACCTTCGCCAGACTCTATTTTAGTTCTTCTTCCATCACAAAAATGTCCCTGTGCCCTTTTTCTTGCTTTTCTTTTTTTTCCCTTTCTTTCTTTCTGCTGCATTTACGTAAATTTAATTGGGCCGACTGTACGAAAGTAATTGGGTCCGTCGGATCGTCGACTGTATCTTTGAACTAAATTATCTTGAATTTTCATATTTCCATTTCTGCCTCTTACTCCGTCTTCATGTAATATTCATCACTCTTCATTGCTGTTACCTTAACGCTGTTTCTGGTACATGTAAATCCAATATACGTATACTTTTTGCAACTATCTATAATAATACATATTTGCAAATCACAAAAGAAATCGGACTATTGTGCATTAGCTACTAACTAAATGAAATATGGCGTGAAGCAGCACGTGTTAAAGAAGAAAACATCTGCAAAACTCCGAAGCGTAGAAAAAGGTAAATGCTTGAAGGCTCATTGAGACGAAAAATATATTGGCTGCGCGATCGCGCCAACGCTGTACTGGACCCGATCGCGAGTGTTATTCAATCGTTTGTTTAAATTTATTTTTTCGTTAACTATCCTTATTAGGTTTATTAATTGCCTTGGGATTTATTAAATACATGGTTACGCCGTAATAAGACTTGGACCATGAAAATCGGCTCACTGGCAATCTCCGTACTCGTCTCTGTCGCAACTAGTGACAAAAAGTATTTAAACCTTTGCGATTCACGAATAATTGGATAACCGACGAGAAGAAGGAGACAATCAGTTGCACAGAAATATCGAAATTTCGAAACATTGAATGAAGCTTTCCAAACGTCACTAAATATTATTGGACCTTGACTTACTTTCGAAATTTAATGAATATCAAATTGAGGCTCAATCAAAATATGTCAATATATACTGAGTAGATAAAAATTAAATCGAAAATAAAATACGCTTAAATTGAAATATTAATAAATTAAGTGTTTGGAATATTAAAACAATTCATTAAATCAATAAATTTTAATTAACAGTTGGAAATCAGAAATCCTGGCCAAGCATACTCGAAGTTGCCCAAAATTGTGTACGCGCAACTTCGTCGCGCAGGACTCGGCGAGTGGGGGGGAGTGGGGGAAGCGACGAAGACAGCGCCCGGACTCGGAGCGCTCATTCTTCCTTGAGCCGGTCTCCTATACTGGTCTCTTGGAAATACCCCTCTCTTCTATTTCCAACCTTCTTCTTTTTCTATATTTATTTCTTTATCCTTCAGTCTTTACTTTCTCACTTATCTCTTCCCTCGTTTCTTCACTACATTTATAACTCATTCCTTACTTTTCTACTTTTTGACTTCTCTATTTCTATCTTCATTTCTGATTTCTCGTTTCACTCTGTTCCCTCTCACTTTCCATTGTGCTTGTATTACTTTTTCTATATTTATTTCTTCTTTACTTCCTTATTTCTTTATATTTCATTCTTTACTTTCTTATTTATCTCTTTCCTTATTTCTTCTCTACTTTTATACCACCATTCATTACTTTTCTATTTTTTAACTTCTCAAATTTTATCTTCCTTTATAACTTCTCGTTTCACTCTGTTCACTCCCTCTTTACATTGTGCTTGTCTTACTTTTCCTATTTCCTTGGTCGGGTCGAGCATTTTAATTCAAGTAGTCATATAAGAGTAGTCATCCGGTTAGTGCAGCTAGACTTAAGACCATGGTGTCGGGGGTTGCCCTTCCGCCTCTTCCGCTGAGCTTGCTCAGTGGTTGGTGGCCCAAGTTGTGGCCGCAACAGGACCTTATGGGTCTCCCGACGGGGGCCTTGAGCCCCCTTAGGGTATCTACGGCCATGGTCTTTCGTATAGTGAATCTAGCCAGGTGTCTAGCTCTCGCGTATTTAGTATAATTTGTTCGCTTTGCTAAAAACGCTCCAACATGTCTTGACCCTTGGGCACTTGTGTGGGTAGAGACGATCCTATTTGTCCGTGGGGAGGTCGGAGGGGTAGTCCGTTGACTTTGGGTAAAGTCCTATTTGTGCTTGTGCTTGGGGGTCACTTCACTTGGGATAGGTGCGGGTGCTATTGAGCACCCGCTAGTATAAAGTCACCCTCTGTCGGAGACATTTTGCGCGGGGATCGATGGCTAACGGGGCCCGCCGCCGGCGGCGGGCGTTTTCCATTGTGCTTGTATTACTTTTTCTATATTTATTTCTTCTTTACTTCCTTATTTCTTTATATTTCATTCTTTACTTTCTTATTCATCTCTTTCCTTGTTTCTTCTCTACTTTTCAACTCTATTCTTTACTTTTCTACTTTTTGACTTCCTTTTCCCCTTCAACAACATCTTCCCTGTCTGCTGCCACCAAACGTTTCTATTCTATTTTCGAATTTCCTATTACTTCCTATATCTCCATCATTCTTTCTCCTCCTAGTATATCCTTAAAAATTAAGTTCTTAAAATGTCTTTTGGAAAAAGAAAAGTTCAAAGTGACGCATATAACATACAACGCGTATATTATATTGTAGTGATATATGAAATATATTTGTAATGGTACTGTTATTGTTAATCTTTCGCAAGCCATATACAATGTATGTAAATCTGTACTTCATATACTGTATCATGATATGTTTTGGAGAATAAATTATCTTTAAATGCTTATACACGTTGATATTCTTTTGCCCTATGCGAATATCCCAGAGTACGAATGAGTTCTGTCTCTTTCTTACTCTTCTCCGTCCTAACAAATAAATTATCTTGTAACACTTATACACTTTTCAAATCTTCTATTCCTTCCTATATCTCCATCATTCTCCTCCTGATATATCCTCAAAAACTATGTTTTTAAAATTTGTTTCGAATAAAGAAAAGTGCAAAGTGGTAGCGCATAATGTAACAGCCACCAAACGTTTCTACTCTATTTTCGAATTTCCTATTACTTCCTATTCTCCATCACTCTCCTCCTAGTATATCCTTAAAAATTAAGTTCTTAAAATGTCTTTTGGAAAAAGAAAAGTTCAAAGTGACGCATATAACATACAACGCGTATATTATATTGTAGTGATATATGAAATATATTTGTAATGGTACTGTTATTGTTAATCTTTCGCAAGCCATATACAATGTATGTAAATCTGTACTTCATATACTGTATCATGATATGTTTTGGAGAATAAATTATCTTTAAATGCTTATACACGTTGATATTCTTTTGCCCTATGCGAATATCCCAGAGTACGAATGAGTTCTGTCTCTTTCTTACTCTTCTCCGTCCTAACAGCATCCTTATTCTTATTAAAGAAATTCT